TAAAATCATGTATCTCGCCGGTTTTCACGCAAGGATATTGTATCCCTTTCAGCCAGGATTGGCTCTGATAGGCAGGATTGACGCCCACCTCCAAAATCATCCAAATTATTATGTCTATTGGGGTGTTTAATCTCTTCCTGGCGCCCTGTAAAACTTAACCAAATGGGTATTGATGCCTTGGAACTCTCTCCCAACAGCATTAATTTCAAGAAAACCTTGTAAGGGAATCGGGTAAAGCCCAGTTGCATTCTTTATTAGGAACCTACTTGACGTACTACGTATATCTAATGTCCCCACACTTTGTGGGTCCGACAAGGAGGTATAAGCCATGGACTGGAACCAGAGTCATCCACATAGTAGTTCATCAACTGTTCTATCGGTACACTAAAAGAATGTGGTCGAAATTTTGAAATTGTATAGGTTTAATGCCATTTTCAACACAGTATGGTCTTTTAAGAGATGGGAATTCCAAATTCAATGTGCACCTCCGACAGGACTGAGATAGAGGGGTAGAGAGCCCCAAAGACTCCCCAAAACAACCCAAGTTCAGACTGCCCGTTGTAGATTCGAACCAGGGCCCAGTGATCCGTTGTCCAGTATGACACCAACTATGATAATGAGGTCACACATTAACAGTCAGGTAGCAGTTCCAATAAGATTATTATCTTAAACGACTTTTAAGCTGGTGCTCATTGGTGAAATGGTCCCAATCTGCATGATCAGATCAAATTGGGTTGGGTCGGGGGATTGCGCTGGTCAGTGTGTACTTAACTTACTAAATAGGGCTCTGCTTTGCTTCAACAATTCCGGAGCGAAAAAAAAGACCGGACCCCGAAATGTCACAAAACTCGTACTAGCTTTCTGATTGGCTATTGGCTACGATTTTCATAAAATTTACCCATTCCACTGTTCTATTGTTACAGGAAGCAACATCCTTGCATTCCGGACACATCCATTGATGCTCTGTTGCTCTCTCCAAAATGTTGCCGAATTCTGTCCTCACAAAAACCATCATCCTCTCCACAGCAGTACTGGCCTCTGCCTCCTTATCTTCCTCTTCAAACAGGTGGCGAGAGAGACATTTCAGGATCTCGACCTTGTCTGGTTGAACATTGCTGTCTACAGAGGTGGCCTCACCAGCCAATCTGTCAGTTTTTTTTCATTTCCTTTAACATCTGAATGGCTAGGGCAGAAAATCCACGTGAGCGATCTTATTGGTGCTGCTTCGATCAGTTGAATCCATTCTGGTCTCAGAAAACCTTTTCCTATCTTTCTGAGGGTACACATGGAATCTGCGATGAGGACAACGTGGGTTGTTTGGGGGGAGGGGCGTCTTGAGTCATCCAAAATGTACCCAACCGAAGCCAAGTAAACCAAACGTTTGATTAATGAGGTTATGATCAAATTGTACAACAATAGTATCTTTTGCCCCTCCAAACCATGTGCTATATGCACTGGGTATAACGCTCTTTCAAGCTACAGTGTACCAGCATCTTCAGTGTAACACGCTGGGGACCAGAGTTCGATTCCCTGGTGGGGAAACATTTGTATCGAGTAATCTTCAGTTTTATCTGCTGGGATTTTGTATCCCTGTCACCACACTGCCTCCTAAATGGTATAAATTGTGTCAATAGGGACGTAAAATCAATTACATTAAATAAAAGCTACAGTGTTTAAGAAATAGAACACCGGCGAATGTCACACGGCGAGCAGCGACACCCCTATAGGTCTGTCTCTTACAACACGGAAGAATAGAAAGAGGGTAATCTGCGCTCCAAAAGCCACATCTCTGTTATAAATGTAAGCTAAAATATTTCACTTTCACTGCGAGTTTCCGCATGGGCGACCCGGGAACTGTATCTTTGCAGTTCCGCATGAATTCCTCCACAGTCTTGTGGTCCGCCAGTCCGGTGTGTCAGTGTCTTACTTCACTTAAAACTTGCACAGAACCAATCTGTGGGTTGTCGCTTCAGTTATCGCTCTTCTTAGTTCTTTCGGTTTTGTTTTCAGGGTTGGGAATTGGGAGTGAAAAGGTAGGGTGGGAAAGGAGGAGGGACAGGGGGGGGAGGG